AACAATCGAATTGAATTTGTTTTCTTCTCTTGAACAAAGACACATGAAAGCCTTCTGAAAATGTAAAGGATTATGGGAACTACGTAATGGCACGACTGATCAGAACGAATGATGAATCCTTTTTCGTAAAGCGCAGTTCAATGGTTGACACAAAAGCAATCACTCAGTATATTTGCGAAACTGGCGACTGAGTCGGACAGAAGCTCCAGCAGTGCCCGCTCTAATGTCATTATGGATAATACAACGCGGGAGAAAAGTGAGGGATGCTGGGAAGAAGATGGCGGTAAATGGAGAACGCGCCAAACCAATGTTCGCGTGGTTCGTCAGTGACTGTAAAAATGGAACGACAAGAATGGAACATGGCCGGCCGATGAGACATAAAGCGCTTAGCACCGATTCTTTGAAGTGGACATCAAAATGTTTCCGAACGTACTTACGGGCAGAGTCACGTGTGCCGTCACGATTATCAAGGCAAGCGCTCGCTTCGAAAAATTAGGCATAAAAATAAGGAGAAATAATAATAATAATAATAATAATAATAATAATAATAATAATAATAATAATAATAATAATAATGTCATAAACCAGGAAAAGGTGGTTAAAAACGACCAAATCAAGAACATGTGTGAGATTAACATCCAAACAGTCCGTATTCTTGAGGCCACCAAATTAGACATTACCATCGTTAAAAAAGAAAATACCTCCTCCTTGAATGGGCTGTTCCTGGTGACCATAATATCAAAAACAAAGAAATTTACGGTCTTAAGATATGTTTCAAGTCCAGGACTGAAGTTGCTCTTTTCCCAATGTCCACCTCTGACGCTATGGATTAATAGGATCGATAGGCGGTATTACTTTCGGGGCGACCTTCGTATCATGTACTTAATATATATTATTTCTTAAGTGGAACATTTTAAAATATCAACGGGTTGTATTAACCGAAAGCTTTGCCATCATAAATTTATCGTCATATTAATTCCACAATAAACCACCTTAGGGCTAGTTTTCCTTGTGGGTCCCAAATTCTTGCAAATGCTAGCGGCACAATTTCGTGTAGGATTTTTTTTTCTAAAGTAAAGGGGCTTTTATTGGCAAGGCTCTGAGTTTTGGCTTGAACTAATGGATTGTTTCAAGTTACGTTTCTATTAAGTTAATAATTAATAGTCAAATGATTCCATGTTTCTTTTACGGAGTTTGTAGAGATTCTAATGTTTAATTGAGCGTCCCATTGTGGCGTTAGGTCAATACCAGCGAACTTAATGTTGAAAGAATAAATTGTAATAACACCGAGTATCCCATCTATTCAGTAGTCGACCTTCCCCCGACAAAGAGGGGCGCAAGTTCGAACAATGCCGGAGAACACATTTTCTTTATTGAGATATCTCGAGTCCGCGGATCGATAGATGTAAGACGCACTATTTAAAATAAGAAACGGGCGTGTCGATTTGAAAGACAGGTATCCATTAAAATAATTCTTGATGTAAAAAAAAATATCGGATTAAAAAAAATCCATTAATCTCTCTCTCTCTCTCTCTCTCTATATATATATATATATATATATATATATATATATATATGTAGATACATTTTTTTAGATGGTATTTATACATTCTTTTATAGATACAAATATTTAAGTTCAAATTAACCTAAATGCCTTCGTCCGGTTTATAATAAACAGTACTTTCTTTTTATAGATACAAATATTTTAAATGCTCTGGCAGTATTGAATTTACCGGCCTGAATGTCCAAGATATGTCTCAAAATAATTAATGGACTGTCCATTTCATAACATATATATATATATATATATATATATATATATATATATATATATATATATATATATATATATATAAAATTAAGAGATCAATTGATTCCACTACTTTGGTTTCAACTGATTTTCCAACACTTTATTTAAAAAAAAATATTAATGAACTCTCTATTATTTTTAAAAATAGATAAAAAAAAACGCACGATGTTGGGTATGATAGGAAGGGAGGAGGTGGAGGAGAATGCGAAGAAAACGAAGGAGGAGGAGGAAGAAGGGGAGTAGGAGGAGGAGGTTGAGGATGAAAGAATGGTTATTGTAAATGTATCGGTAGGGTAGCTCTTTGAAATGTTTATATTTTTTATTCAACCTCAAGCAATTAAGAGGATTTTTTTTGTATGAATGCAACGGCTCATAATCTCGGACCTTTGATTCAAAATTTCTTTGTTTTTTTTTTTGTATCCGGAATGTCATTATTGCTAACTTTTCTTGAAAGTGGTTGCAGATGTTATTATGGTTATTATATATATATATATATATATATATATATATATATGTGTGTGTGTGTGTGTGTGTGTGTGTGTGTGTGTGTGTGTGTGTTTATGTTTATACGTTATTTTTATAGATATAATTTATTTAAGTAAATGTTCTGTCTTTTTAATTAAACAGTATTAATTACATTTATCGGCCTGAGAGTTCGAGAAATTTGATAGAAAATATGCACTCTCCGACAGAATTGGGACCTTTAACCCCTATGGAAACCGTCATTTGACCTGACATGCTATTAAACATATTTTCCACGATATTTCTCGAATATTCAGGCCGGTAAATGTAATTAGTATTGTTCAGTTAAAAAAAAAACAGAGCATTTACTTAAATAAATTGTATCTATTAAAATAACGTATAAAGAGAAAATATATTAAATAATTGTCGAACACATTTCATAATATGTTGTCACTGTTTACGTTAAGATATGTTTCGTGAGCAGATATGATCGATGGGGAAAAATCGTCAAAGGTGTGTGTAATTTGGAGTGAATGGTTCCCAGCGCGTCAGGTCAAATGCATGTTCGATTCCTGTCGGGGAGCGCATATTGTCTACACGATTTCTCGAACATTCAGGCCGGTAAATGTAATTAATACTGCTTAGTTAAAAAAAAAAAAAACTGAGCATTTACTTAAATAAATTATATCCATAAAAATAACGTATAAATAGAAAATATATTAAATAATTGTCCGACTTAATCCATTTCAGAATATATGTAAATGTCTGTGTGTATGTGTGTGTGTGTGTGAGAGAGAGAGTGAGTGAATGATGTCAAGTCTCTAAATAAACATAACCAATTTCGTATATATATATATATATATATATATATATATATATATATATATTATTCCAAACACTTAATCTGCAATTAATTTAACCATACGTCATGAACGTAAATGACCTTCAGTATTATATATAAACAAAATAAACTGAAAGAAAGGTTTGTCACACATCGCTGTCGACCCTGCTATAAGGCATTACTATTTAACTTTGCTCACATCCACTATTTGATCTCCGTTTTGCATGCAACTATGAATGCCAGTGAGTGCAGGTTTTCTTTCCACATGGAGAAATTCAGAAACAGTTAGCAACAAAGAAAAGACTACTGAACTATAAAGCAGTGGATGCTGGACAATCGCATCACTGATGAAGAAAGATATGAAGCAATAAAAATGTGGTCATCAAAAGAGCCACTGCAGATACCATGGACGGAACATGCAAGCAACGAAGATAATTTAGAGAAAATGGCAACAAAAAAAAGAGATTTATACTTAATACCAGAAGATGAAAGCAGAAATTTCCAAGGAACATGATGAGGAAAGATTGCTAGGAAAATCTAAGACTCACAGGATATAGTGAAAGCAAGAGGGACAGGAGAAAGCAGAGTATAACCTACTTAACTAGATTGTGTAAACGGGTAACAGAACAGAGTTTAGGCTAGATAGCAAAAAGAAACAAAATACCAAGAGACAAAAAATTATGGAGAGCCATGATCGTTATCATCCTGAAGGGACCCGGCACATAGAAATCGGAGGAATAAAAATGACGCACATATGCACTTATATGTCAGTTTTTATTTTCCAGACTGTCGCTCAAATGCTATCTGTAACAAAGAATAATAAATTATAGATTATTAGCAGGATGTTAACCTTCCAACACTAGGTCACCAATATCCGACTGATGTGTATGGACCAATTGGATAGATACGAGGTATTATTTTCGGGGCGACCTTCATATCTTGTACTTAATATATTTTATCTGGAACATTTTAAAAATATCAACGTTATATATTAACCGAACAATATCATCCATTTATCTACATATTAATTCCAGTATAACCCTGTCTAGTCTGTCTTCGTGGACCTCATCTCTTATACATTTCCATAACCCAAGCAACCCAAATCGGGCCACCATTTTTGTTTTTACCAACAGTACGATGTTTTGTTTTATTTTTATTTTGGGCTCTGAGTTTTGGCTTGAACTGATGGTCTGTATTCGATCATTCAAGCTAGGTTTCTATTTAATTAATAATTAGTAGTTGAGTATCTTCCATGTTGCTTTTTGTGGGTTTGAGTCGTTTCTAATATCTAATCCAGCGTTCTATTTTATCCTAATCCCTCCAGTATTTAAAGAGAAAAAGATGGAGTAGGATGAGCCATGAGAAGGGGAAAAGGAAGAAGAACAGAAGAAACATAGTTTCGAGAAGAAGAAGAAGAAGAAGAAGAAGAAGAAAAAAAAGTATAATTTAAAGATTATTATTATTATTATTATTCACTGATCTATTTGATCCTTATCCCTCTAGAATTTAAGGACGAAAAGATGGCGTAGGATGAGCCTGGAAGGAAAAGGAAAAGACGAAAAAGAAATAGAGGAGATGAAGATGACAGAAATATAACATTTTCGGATGAAGAAAAGAGAAGGAGAATATATTTGTAGCTCAGTCTCAATTTGTTGGAGCAGGCAACTAATAATAATAATAATAATAATAATAATAATAATAATAATGGAAACTAGAAGAAGAAGAATATATTTGTTTCCCACCATTAATTTGTTCGAGTATTGCTCTCCTAACCAATAATAATAATAATGATGATGGGAACTAGAAGAATTAGAAGAAGAAGAAACAGAAGAAGAAGAAGAAGAAACGGAAGAAGAAACAGAAACAAAATAATAATAAGAAGAAGAATTAAAAAGAAGAAGAAGAAGAAGAAGAAGAAGAAGAAGAAGAAGCAGAAATAAAAGGCGAAGAAGAAGACGTAGAAGAAAGAAAGAAAGAAAGAAAGAAAGAAAGAAAGAAAGAAAGAAAAGTAGTAGTAGAAGAAGAAGCAGGAGAAGATATTTGTATCCAGCCTCAATTCGTTCGAGTACTACTCTCCCACCCAATAATAATAATAATAATGAGAGTTAGGAGAACAAGAAGAATATATTTGTACCCAGCGTAAATTGCTCTCTCATCCTATACTAATAATATTAATTATGGGAACTTGAAGAAGGAGGCGGAGAAAGAGAAGGAAGATAGCAAAAAAAGAAGATAAAGAAGGAGGGGAATTAAATGAATAGTAAGATTTCAGAAGCAGAAGAAAAAAAAAACAAGGAAAAAGAATCGTACGAACCAAAAGTAAGAAAGAACGGAAGAAAAATAACAAGACTGGATAGGAAGGATACGAAGGAAAAGAAAAAGAATACAGAAGAAAGATTATAGAATAAGGAGAGAAAAAAATAAAAAAATAATGTAGATTACAGATAGAATTGATGAAAACAGAGAAAAAGCAGAAGACAGAGGCATAATTCAAAATTAGAAACATGGATCTTAAAGATTAAAAAGAAAAACAACAAGAAATTCCCAGAAGAAAAGAACGTCATAGAAAGTAATTCGTGAAATTTTCCTTTAAAGAACCACTAAGAAAAGAAATTACAAAGAGCGATGATCATCACTGTCCTGAAGGGACACGATACATAGAAGATCTAAGGGCAATTCGGCGTTATGTAATGGTTAGCAAGCTTGTCCCGCTAGAACAATTACGACTGAGTAATGAATTCGATCCTCACTGGGCACCCCATAATATGAACCTTGTGCCACATATAAGCTCGCTCAGAAAATCAGTTTGGGAACTGTAACATGGTATAATGGTTAGAAAGCTCGTCTCGCTAAAACAATTGCAAGTGAGTCGTGAGTTCGATCCTCACTGGGAGCCCCATACTTTCGGCCTTGTACCACATCTAAGCTACACGTAGAAAATCCCCATAGAAAAATCTCCAAACGAAAGATAAATGAAGCATGCCGAAATTAATATTTGGAGAATCAATATTTTCGGATTTTGCCTTCGTCTGACACAAGGCTCCCAACTATTTGCTAGTAGGAACGCTCAACCAGATCATTTTCACTTGCCGTTTAAATAATCTCTGAAGAGCTGGAGCTTAATTAATAAAAAAAAATCACTCCTCTTTTGTTTTCATTGACCTTATTATATCATTCTTATTTTCGGAGGCTCCAACCCCCCGTTCAGCAACGCTCAACCATCCATTGTTTGCACCCATTCTATCATAATTATCCCCTAACTGACCCCTGGGTAGTAATGAGTTTCTTGCGTCCTCGGCTACCGGTGTCAATGCCTTGTAATGAAGATCGAGGAGAAAAGATTTTGCTTCTTTTTAGCAACTCCTTTTTTTCAGAAATTTTCTAAACTGCTCCTCCACCACTTCGTTTTCCTACTTCTAATAATGATAATGGTGATATTAGGCGTTTCCTTATCAGGAAAAATTCGGCATTCTTTGAACCAGCAGCCAGTGCTACTGTCGGTTTAAATCTATAACCTCATTCTCTTAAAACAACTTTTCAGGAATAAAATTCTGTTAACTGTTATGTCACTTTTCCGTATTTATAAGGATTTTCTTCCTAACATTTTGTTTGAAGTAGTATGGAATATTAACTTTTCGATTAAATTATTATTTTCCCTACAAGTTACAGTGTGATATCGATTATAGCTTTTGAAAGTCCTCAGTTGATATGGTTTCAATTATTTGGTACAGATCTTTGCATGTAATTCTCTTGTACACAAAATTTCGAATAAGGATGGTCTTTGGCAAGATTGAGAAGGCACGGTGGAGTAATGGATAGCGGCTCGGATTGAGGTAATCGAAGAGCCGAGTTCGAATTCCAGTCAAATCAATTACATACAATTACTTGGGAAAGATAGGAATCCTCTTCTTCTCCTCCCAGCTACGGGTAAAAAAGTAGGAACTTGGATGGCAACTGCTCCTAGATATGAACAAATAGTGGACCGCTCCAAACAAAAACAAAATGCTATAAAAGTATAAAAAATACATGTTTATAGTAAAAATGACAGCGATATATTTATATATAAAAATATTGTTATATTCCGTACCTATGAACACTAATGGGTATGTCCCAATCCTCATAAATACGTTGGACACTATTGTAAGTGGCCGTAATATGCTGTTTAAGTATGTCACCACTACCAGTGGTTTACCTACTTCACGCCGCTGGCGAGTACTGTATTTTGTTGATGTTATAAAGATTATCATTTCATTTCCAGCCTCCGTTTTGGTTATTCCTCATTAAGTAACCCTTTCTAGGTTACAATAAATACGAACAATAGATATTTATAGTAAAATTACCAACAATACGTACATTCTAACAAATTATAGCGATTTATCCAAATCTGTTTAATGGACTACCAAACAACCAACATAAAAAAAACACTTTCAAGACATTAAGCCATATAATATCCAACAATTTCTTAAATCAAACTGTATTAACAAATTTAACTTCAACAAAACTCATTTCCTTTGTTTATAGCGGTGTTTAGAAGGGGATTGTGCAGAGTATGGTCGTCTCACGGTTTCCATGGCTTGTGCAGCTATTTTTGGCATAGGATAACATTACCCAGGTCCCACAAACACGATATTCCTCAAATCTCACCTCTTGCAACTTTTCCTCTTCAAAAATCAAATCCCACTTGAAAAGAACAAGATCTAAAATCACTGAAGAAATTCAAGAGGATGCAACGAGGCTGCTGGAAAAAGCCGGAAAAAAAACAGTTCCAGGAATGGAAACGACTCTGGATAAATGCGTGGGGCTTCAGAGTATTTTGAAGGAGATTAAATTTATATGTGTTGTAGTTATCTTTTTAATAGCATTAGTCTCAATACTATTTGATCAGACTGGGTGTATAGCCAACAACAAGAAATATTGAAACGTTTTTCTAAAGTTTTCATTCTCAGAAAATAAAAAGTGAGACGCGAGACATCCAGACGGCAATCTGCCAGTCATTAAAATTTCGCTATTATTACAAGCATTAATAACAGTTGCGCTGTATTTTGCAGAATTTGAACAATGAATAAAAATTCCATAATTGATTAGAATGGCTCTCCCATTTGATGTACACTGAGGATCTAAAATCAAACAGAATTTGAAATACTGTTTTCAATCAATTTAAATGTCTAACCAAGATGTTAACATGACGTATGGCATTGAGAAATCTTCAATGTTAATGACTTTCAAATGATAGAGCGAATAAAACAGAAGAAATTTAACTTCTGTATGTTGTGTATCTTCAAGACGTGAGCAATTATGGTTCTCCACAGTTTCCCATCCTCGTATTCCTACGTTACGTATATATCTCCTTACTATCACTCACGGTTCCTGTTTCATTTAGATACGTAACTTGTTGTTTCCGTCTTATCTTCAATATGCCCTGCGAGTGTCAAATTCTCCAAACCGCCTTTATTCATTTTTTTCAGAAATAATCTCCCAGAAATGCCACTGTCTTTCTGATTCTAATTACAAGTGTCTTTTTACCTCCCATTTATCCTAAAACTACCGTCACGCTCACATATTTCGTCCATGGTATTCCCAGCAGTCTAGTTAGCAGAGATGAAAGGGCAACAAAACAATTACCATGAAAGTGTTTAGAGAAAAGACACAGGACAAGTACGTGATGGCTGTGGAAAAGTGACTGAAACCGAGATGCCAAGTTAGGGCCAATAACATTGCCAATTATTCTCTGTATTTTATTACGAATCTCACATGTTGTATCCATGTTACTCTCAGCATTCATCTAATTAATCATCCCCCTAAGCAAGGCAATTAAACCACTAAGACGCAAGGGATCACTAAGTGTGAAAGAATATAAGAAAAATAAAAATACTATTTAGGAGAGAGGACAATAAAAGAATAAAAATTAAGAAGATAACGATTGACATTGCATTTAAATGTTTGATGTTCAAAGTTGATCGGGAGAGCAAGAAAACGGACGAATATTTTTAATTATTCTTAAATTTTAAAAAAATCGTCATTTTTAGTTTTGTTTATAAATACCTGATAAATAAATATATATATATATATGATAAAATAAATACTTTACATTTGCTTTGATGCAGTCCATCAGAAGACGAAACGCATTGGTAAAGAAAACTTTTCTCTTTTATCTTTATTCGTATTATTTAAATAATTTCACCCCAAGCAAGGCAATACAGGTTCTAAGAAACTGTTAGCATAGAACTTACAGTTACATCTAGCAGCCATTTCAACTGCAAAATGATTAGACTTTGCCACCAATCTAATACTGCGCTTACATTCATAAAGTCAAATACGATAGAGCAACATTCGTCAGAATGATCACCACGAAAGTATTAATAGAAACGTTACAGGCGGTGTGAAAATGGCGGAAGCGGAGATGCCAGATCAGGACCAATAACCAATTTATCAAGAATATCTAGACGCACAGCAGGATCACTGGACCAAAATGTGGCAGCTCTATTCAAAGCATGGCAGACGAATAAATATCGAAGATGGATACTGACGAGAAAAAATTGTCTAGTTCTAAACAGTGAACCAACTTTAATAGCAGTTAACCTAACAATTGTTTCAATATGATGTTTTTAATTCATGCCAGTGGAAAACGTCAGCACGAGAAGGCGAAATGTATCACTCTCTTAGAGATTAGAATCACCTAGTCTGGTGAAAGGCAAAAAAAAGCGTTCTCTTTGACGATTAATACAGAGTAGTTTCGTTTTGGAAGCGTCAAAATTAAGAAGCCATTCCTTGTCCCAGTTAACAACAGATTGTTCGTCACTTTTTTTGTAAATTAGTTGCCAATCATTTTTTAAATTTAAATTTTGAGATCTTGGAATTCAAGCGTTATGAAACAAATAGGAATTTAAAAAAAGCAATGGACGATAAAATCTCAAGGTAATGTAATAGAAATACTCAAGTTTCCTCAGTAACTGCATTTTCTACATTCAACGTGTGAAAGCACGTGCGATACCCTGTCCTCGTCAGCCGCTGACCAGGGTAACATAGTTTCGGGGGCTAAGGCGGTACTGACACCCCTGGCGCTAGCTATAGCTGTTGCAAACAGACAGAACTTTCTTTTTGTATAGATATAAGACATTACAAGAGACTGACACGTCTCTTGTAATTTATTATTTTGAAACTATGTTCAACGTTGTGTTAAAGGCGTTTCCTTTTGATCGTTAACCAATATACAACGCGCTCGGCGCGACCGTTATAAATGACGTAGAATGGAAGGTAAATGGATGTGTTTCACGTCGGAAAATATGAGCATTATTTTTTTTTTCTTTACAAGGGAAAGAAACAAAAATGATGCTCATGCCTTAAACTCAGTAAATGACGATGACATATGAGACGGTTAAGAGTAAAACGACATAAAGATAATCCGACTGTATTGAATATTTGTTCGACTTTTCTATAATAGAATTTGTGAATTCTATAACAAATCATGTTGTGAAGGTCATGTTGAACGGATACCATTCCTCTTAA